GGTAGTCTTTAGTCAATAATCGCACCTGTTCACGATTTCTTGAACCGATTTCGAGATTTGGTTACTTCTTCCAACTTTGACTCGGTTAGGGAGGAACGGGGATATAAATTCTGGGTGACCATTAATGTCTGAAACCTCTCGTTAACCCCATCATGGACGATGGCACCCGTGGCCGCTATGGCTTTCTTTACTTCAGGACTGAAAACGTCACCCGGGGTGAGGAGATTAACAAAATGGCGCAAGAGGGAAGGAACTTGTTGAAGATCAAACGACGGCTCCTGACGATGGCCCATCTTTGCCAAAATTGTCGTGAGGGCTCGGATGCGCTTCTCGACAAGGGCAAATTCCGAGGAATTATTCAGGATGTTACTATCCATGAGATGTGCTACTCAGGCCGAGCCTGGTCTGTGCGGATCGTCTGTAACTTAGCTAAGACTGTCGTCCAGGCTTTAACTGTTACGCCAAAAGGCAGTGATACTGAACAAATACTGAAAGCTTTATCGCGGACAGTATTTATGTAGATTATGGGAAATCTAGTAAGCCAGCGTGCTTACATCGTCGTATGCTCTTTCACAGAAGGTACATCGGGGTTTGCAATATTTGTAGAGAAAAAGGCACTTCCTGGAAGTCGGAAATGTATCCTTCTCTACCAATATTTGCAATTTACTCCCCCACTAACCGTCAAATAAGTCGAGAAAAGCAATCGTGTTGGACAAGTGCCCTTCTCCACTAGATCGTTTGCAGTCGGGGATGTGCATTTTTGTCCACGTCGAGACGGGCGTGCGTCTCGGGATACTGCCTGCGATAAGCATGAGAACAAGGAGCGAATTAGTGACAGCTCATGCGAATGACCTTGTCGTGGTAAGGAACTTAGGCTGAATTGACTTGTAATTGACAGTCTCATGGGAATAATATAGACCGCCTCATCAACGTTTCAACCTTATGTAACTAGAGTAGACCTCTTTTTGTTCCATTACTACCCGAACATACTTGTTTTGAGAGATGAGGCCTTTGGCATACGTTGCCGGTTTTCTATCACTCACGGGGCTAGTCAATGCTCAATACTTTTCAGCTGGATGGACCCCAGGACAACCCGTCCCCAAGCCAAACTCCCTCACCAGCACACGTCCCACATTCCCCATCTACCCCTGCAACGCAACATGGGCCAGGGAAGATGTCGTTTCTAGACAGCCTTGTGACTGTAGGACCGTTGGGCGCTGTATCCTCTCTCATTGGTCTCAACCTTACCGGAGCTCCATCTGTAATTTGGGATGAGCGGATACCTCTCATCACGGATGAGAACTATGCAGAAATGATTGTAAACGAGACGCTGACTGCAGAGGAGGAGAAAGAACGAGTCTGGTTTCTCATAATGTGAGTATATCGTCTTTGATAGTCCGTTTAATTAACGTATCCTCACCAGAACCGTCACCGCTGGACAGCCAGAAGGTGTCTCGAAGTTCGTAGACCATGTTTTTGATGCCACGTATAATTATACCCTGGAGAAAGGAGAGCTTTCCCATGTGCGCTTTGGTCGAATCGACTATCTCAATGTCACGAGTATCACTACCAAATGGGCTGTCTGGTCGTGAGTCTTCAACATTTTTTGTAGCGTGTGCGTGTTCTTGACCTTCTATTAGCGCACCTTACCTTGTTGTATTGAAAGACCGGGGGCAAACTTTGCGGTTTTACAAAGCCGGTCAGATAAGGTTGACCGACGAAATCCTCCACCAATTTCTCAAGGAGAAGGCGTGGAGCATCAAAGAGCCATGGAAATCCATCTATGGCCCCGGTGGTGAACGGTAGGACATGTCAGATTTAAGTATTCTACCAGCGCTTACCGCCCTTTTGCAGCGAATACATTTTAGACTACCTGGCACAATTTCTGTCCATGGTCTACGGCACTCTTGTTCGTGTGCCGAAATGGCTCATGTACATGATGAGCGGAGGTCTTGCGACTTTTTTCATCAATTTTTTGCATAAGCCTTCGCGTCCTCAGAGCGCTGCTAAGCCTGCAGTCAAGCCCGTATCTGCACCCGCAGCCCCAGAAGACGCAGTCGTGTCGAGTGCGACAAATACGCCGCAGAAGGGGTCTACTAAAAGGAAGGGAAAGAAATAGTCGGATGTCTTGGAGGGATATATATACTCATGCATTATGGCAGAGCTTATGTATTGTATTTTATAGCAAGAACCTTGAATGATCGTGTTATATTGTGCGAGGAACCAGTGCGTCGTAATCAGCGAACCGGTGAACAAGACTTGCAGGATATACGTCGCATGAGGTCAGCTGTGGTGAGCCCAGTAGTACTAGGAACTTCAGTGCATTGTCGTGCTCCAATATTACAAGAGAAGTCTCGCGGTAAGCCTGCGTTTATTATACAGGTCAAATTCATTCCTGATCGTGACATGAACTCCCTTCGTCGACGGGCGGTCTCGAGGATTAGTAGACCAGCATTGCTCCATGAACGTCCAATACTTTTCAGGGATCTCAGGATAACGAGCTCGGGAGGGCTGTTCCGACCTAGCTATGCATAGGACGATTGCGGCGTCATTCGGGAGGTAATAATAAGGGATTTTGTTCGTGAGGACCTAAAGGCAGAGCTAATGATATTATTGACAAGTCGAGAGTACTCCAGACGTACCTGCAACATGATACCGCCAAACGAAAAGATGTCGCTTTGCTCGCTCGGACGAGTTGCAGATCCATCCTCCTGCTCTGGTTCAAGTAACTCAGGAGCCATCCATCGCATGTTTCCTTTGAGCGTGGACGTCCAAGATGCCTGAGAGGCACTTATAGCCTCGGAATACATCAAGGAAAGACCAAAGTCAGCAACACACGCGGTGCCATCACCGTGGATGAGCACATTAGGCTGGAGCTTATGTCTCAATGAAATTGGAACTATCGAGAAGATCGAACTCACCCCATTGAAGTCACCATGGATGACACTGTTAGCGTGGACTGTGAAGAGTAGTTACAACGCTGTCCGGCAACAGTGAAATCTATCACATACGATATTGCAGACCAGCTATGATATCTCTTAGCTAAGTTTGTCATCAGTTTCGTGGTCTACCCAAAATACAAGAGATGACTTACCAGTTGAAATCGTCTAACGAGAGTAAGAGCCGCACCCTCACGCTCCAAATAGACCGTCAAGTTGCTATTCTCCGCCCAAGGACTGACTATCGCTAGGAATGGGCCGAACCCATACGTATAACCATAAATGGGTAGAATATTTGGATGCTTAAGGTTGGCGCATATTCTGAGCTCACGCTGTATTCTCTATGAAGTGGCACCCTGTTGTGTAAGTGATAGACAGTCCTCCAGCAAGACACTTGCCTTGCTCTTTTTTGTATTCGCTGTGCCGAGTTGATCATCAGCGTATACCTGCAACGCTTTCACTGCGACCTGCGAAATTATTAATTGTAGACATGAACAGACAAAAGACGGCAAACGAACTTTGACCGAGCTACGATCGATGTGAAAGGTGCATTTCCAGATCTCCCCGAACCCACCACGAGCAACAGGGTAATCTCCATCCTTGGTGATATACTTTGAGAGGTCTTGGAGCGTTGCTTCAGGGGGGAGATCGTCAGGGTCAACATTACTAGCGGACAGGACTGTATGCGTATGGGAAGAGGAGGGAAGGAGCTCGCGGGAGTCAGGGCGTAACTGGGGTGGCTGCGAATCTGATGTAGAAGAGGGTATCTGCCGTGGAGGGAGAAGGGTAGGCAACTGGGCCTCATTGAATTGATTTGCAGTGAGTGAGAGAGCGCCAAACTGTAAAATGGCATTAATGGAGTAAGTGAACAAAAGAAAGGGATGAGTACATCAGGGGGGTCACTGGTCTGCAAAAAAATGTTAGTACATGAACAATAGCAGTATTCGGAGTTGGGTGCGCACTCTAACTTGTGGTACAGGCTGAATGCTAGCGAGGATCTCGGGAGGAGTGTTGCACAAGTAAATATTGTTGTTGTACATGGCCGTGTAAACCAGTTGGCGCGAGTCGGGTGAGAGGGTAAGATGGCGGACTAGCTGAACATTGAATGAGGCGAGGAGCTGGCGGGACTCGAATGCCCAGAGCTTGATGGTATTGTCATCAGAAGCGCTAGCGAGGAGTGCACAATCAAGTGAAAGCGCCAGACCGGTGATGATTTTGGTGTGTCCTTCGAAGGGGGCTCCGACAGTCTCCAGCGTAGATGCGTTAAATTCATAGATCGTCTTCGGGGAGTCATGGTAGCTGAATGAGGTTGCGATGGTTTTGTCTTTGGTAGTCCAAAACACTGGTGCAAATGCGTAGTTCACTCCATCAAATGTCCCCGCTTCGACATCCAATGTTTGTGTTTGGATATCCCACACTTCCAGGTGATTCCCCCACCATGATTTGACTGCGAGCTTCTTCGAGTCGTGCGAGAATCGAATTGCGCCCACATCATCATATTCGACACTTTTGAATGGACCAGCTACGAGTTTGCCAGTTTCCAAGCTCCATATCCGCACTATGTAAGTTTCTGCCTCCGCCAGTAGCGTGCTGTCCCCGGAGATATCGATGCTGGTGATCTTCCGTGAGTGACCTTCAGACGTTCTCACGATCTTCGTCCCAACCTCAGAGACTCTGAGCTCCCCGGTGTAGTCAAAGCCATTTCCACCTGCAGAGACAGCCCATCGACCATCTCTTGATACCCCCACGGTATGCACTTCCAGTTCGCAAACATCCCGCATCTCCTTAATTTCTTTACCCGCTTCTAGGTCCCATTGACGAGTGGTCTTATCGTCTGACCCGCTGATTATTCGCTTCCCGTCCGGAAAGTAGGATATCGATGGAATAGAACCTTTGTGACCCTCCAAGGTCAACACGTGTGTCAGAGTCGATTTCTTTGCTGCCGCAGTAGCCTGTCGCGATCTGGAATCCATGTCCCGTTTCTCCGCCAGAGAGGCTGACAAGTACGATAAGGCTGTTGTTTGGAAGTATTCCAAGGACCGTCGGTGAGGCTATGTCATATCCTGTGGCCTGACGTTGATAGTAACTTCAAAGGATACCCAACTACTGGTGGCAGCTGGTACACTTTGCCTGCTAATATTGACTGTCAGTTCGCTAGCACAGAATGTTTAGTATTACCTAGAGACTAGCAACTTGGGAGAAGAGCGAGTGATTCAGCTGATTGGATGTACGTGCATCTCGTAACCACTTCCCGTACATCCTAACACGTCCATTCAGATGGTGCCTGTGCATGGTACAGCGTTTATTTTCTGCCGTCTTGTGTCCATTCAATCTGCTTGCTGTTCGGTTCCCTGTCATGGCCATCTTCGTTGCCGCCGCCATCATCAAGCTCATTGTGCAGTTGGCAAGGAACCAAAAGTTCAGAATTTGCAGGTACGGCACACCTCCCTTTCTGGCTCCACGAACTATTTACGGAAAGGCACTTTCATGGAGTTCAGGGAAGCTGATCTATACGTTCTCTTGCGGCGGTGACCGTTGCTGTCCTGTCGAATGTCAAGCTGTCATTGTATGTATTTGTTTTCTGCTTGTGAAATCTTTTGACAAAGTGTTGGACAGAACCTACAACCTTAAATCCAAGATTGATCTCATTTCAGGTAACAGTATGAATTACATCCCGATGATCGACTGCCGAGTGCTCAGTTGCTCAATGAACTTGAATCAGTTGCCGGCATACTAGCACTGACGAGAATTGCTTTTGAGCGAATCCATGCATGAATGAAAGAAGTGCGCAATGTACACTACATCACACTCCTTTCAGCGACACGTGGGCGTGTTGCTTCTCGACTTCTCGCTCTGACGAATTATCCACGATTCTGAGCATAATCAACCGGCTTCAAGCCAAGGAGAAAAGTCTTTTTATGAAGGTCGGCAGTGATTCTCGAAACTTGAGAAAATGTGAAGGACGAACGTGGTGCCCATTCTATCTGTGTCACGTTTAAATATCATCATTTCCCTCCAGGGGTTGAGTATTTTTCAGCCACGTTTATGCGCTACTCTCATGCATCATCTGCAAGTTTGCAACCAGCGCAAAATAAATTCTCCAACTTTTATGCACACCCGAGTGTCCGTCTGGTAGCAGACCAGTCTTGTTATGTCAAGGAGAAGGGGACCGTCAGACTGATAACAGCTCTTTCATAGACTTTCGATGTTGCATTGTTCGGGGACTAGTACCACTGCCACTGTTACAAAAACTTCGACGAGCGTGGGTCGACTGTAGCATCAACTCTCTTTAACAGCAAGCCGAGCAGTGAATGGTCAAGCATCACAGTGTGTGTGTGTGTCCTTTGGCTCCTTCGCTCGTTAACTTATCGTCTCAGGCAGCTGTGATTATAGCAGACATCGGTTTCGTGGCCGTGCCTTCCGTCAATCTCTAAGATTCACGCGCCTTCACGGTAATCAGTACATATCTCCCTGTGTTTCGTGTTATTGGATCGTTGGTGATTTCCTCACAGACAAGTTCGGTATGGACAAGGATTTGCCGAGATGTCGTTTCCAGACTTGTGACTGTAGGATAGACTCGTAACCAGCCTTACTAACCAGCCTTACTAGAGTCTCACGTCTCGTATAAGCCAGGCTGGTCACGAGCCTGACTGTGGAACCTTTAAGTACTGTTTCTTCTCTGATCGGTCTCAATATTATCGGAACGCCATCTGTAACTAGGAGGAGAAAGAGCGAGTTTAGTTTCTCATAATATGAGTATATCGTATTTAACGATCCGTCAATTAACGTATCCTCTCCAGAATCAACATCCAGAAGGTGTCTCGAAGTTCGTAGACCATGTTTTTGATTCCACACATAATCATACCCTGGAGAAAGGAGAGCTTTCCCATGTGCGCTTGTGGTGAACGGTAGGATGTGTCAGATTTAAGTATCCTACTAGTGCTTACCGCCCTTTTGCAGCGAATACATTTTAGACTACCTGGCACGTTTCCTGTCCATAGTCTACGGCGCTCTTGTCCGTGTACCGAAACAGCTCATATACGTGATGAGCGGAGGTTTCGCGACTTTTTCATCGATTTTTTGCATAATCCTGAGCGTCCTCAGAGCGCCGCTAAGCCTATATATATACTCAAGCCTGTGTCTGCACCCGCAGCCCCAGAACGCGCGAACTCGTCAGAAGGGATCTACTAAAAGGAAAGGAAAGAAATAGCTGGATATCTTGGAGGGATATATATACCCATGCACTATTGGAGAGTCTATGTGTTGTCATAATGTACTTCCATCTTGTAGGTTGTACAACGAATCCTCAACTGCTGTGCACCAGTCTCCAGACGGACTAAGAGAACACGGCTATCTGGCTTTCCAAAACACTTGGTGTTTCTCAAGCTCATCGTAGTCTGACGGTATCACGAGCGGTGAATGAATGGATTGTTTTCTGACAAGAAACTCGGGCGCGTGGTCCAGTCGTATTGTGCCAGGAACTAGTTCATTATAATCAGTGAACCGGTAAGCAGGAATATTTCGCATATGAGGTCTGCCGTGGGGAGGCCAATGGTATTAGGAACTACAGTGCACTGTTGTGCCCAAAAATATATTACAAGACAAGTCTTGGGGTGAGCCTGCGTTTACTATACAAGTGTACCTACGTTTATTTATCTGGCTACAGATTTTGGAGGCGAGAGAGCGCGTGGGAATCAACGAGATCTGGACAGCGAGTAAAATTCATTCCCGATCATCGCATCAACTCCCTTCGTCGATGGGCGGTCCCGAGGATCAGTAGACCAACATTGCTCCATAAGCGTCCAGTATTGTTCAGAAAGTTCAGAATAACGAGCTCGGGAGGGCTTTTCCGACCTAGCTATGCACAGGACGATGGCGGCATCATTCGGGAGGTAATAATAAGGGATTTTGTTCGTGAGGACCTAAAGGCAGAGCTAATGATATTATTGACAAGTCGAGAGTACTCCAGACGTACCTGCAACATGATACCGCCGAACGAAAATATGTCGCTTTGCTCGCTCGGACGAGTCGGAGATCCGTCTTCCCGCTCTGGTACAAGTAGCTCAGGAGCCATCCATCGCATGTTTCCTTTGAGCGTGGACGTCCAGGACGCCTGAGAAGCGCTTATAATCTCGGAATACATCAAGGAAAGACCGAAGTCAGCAACACACGCGGTGCCATCACCGTGAATGAGCACATTAGGCTGGAGCTCACTTCTCAATGAAATTGGAACTATCAAGAAGATCGGACTTACCCCAGTGAAGTCACCATGGATGACACTGTTGGCATGGACTGTGAGGAGTAGTTACGGCTCGATCCGGCAATAGCAAAGTCTATCACATACGATATTGCAGACCAGCTATGATATCTCTTAACTAAGTTTTCCATCAGTTTTGTGGTCAACCCAAAAATACACGAAGAGAGGACTTGCCAGCTGGAATCGTCTTGCGAGAGTAAGAGCCGCACCCTCACGCTCCAAATAGACCGTCAAGTTACCACCCTCTGCCCAAGGACTGACTATCGCTAGGAATGGGCCGAACCCATACGTATAACCATAAACGGGAAGAATATTTGCATGCTTGAGGTTGGCACATATCCTGAGTTCACGCTTTATCCTCTACAAAGTGGCACCCTGGGGTGTAAGTGATAGATCCAGTCTTCTGCCGTGCCACTCACCTTGATCTTTTTTTCCTTCGTTGCACCAAGTTGATCAGCCGTGTACATCTGCAACGCCTTCACTGCCACCTTCCCAATTGTCAATTTCAAACTGGTGGACAAACAATACTGCAGACAAACTTTGATCGATCTCCGGTCTATCTGATAGGTACATTTCCAGATCTCCCCAAACCCGCCACGAGCAGTAGGATAATATTCGTCCTTAGTGATGTATCTTGTGAGATTTTGGAGCATCGCTTCAGGGGGGAGACCATGAAGCTCATGATTACGAGCAGAGAAGGCTGTATACATATAGGAAGAGGAGGGAAGGAGCTCGTGGGCGTTGGGGCGTAACTGGGGTAGAGGTGGACCTACTGTAGAAGAGGGCACCTGCGATGGAGGGGGAAAAACTATGACAGGCGAAATTGTTGCACTTGGAAGATCTGCCGTGGGTCCTCCATTTAAATGCACCGTGTCCTGACGCAGTGGCTGGAATCCTGGTTCATTTTGTTGCCCCCATATCTCAGCAGACGATGACTGCGTGTCAGCAGGCCATTGCCACATATCAGTAAGCGGTTGCATGTCGGTGGGTTGTATGCGAGAGGTTCCGGCATAGCTGTCAGTCCAGGATGGCCCTGCACGACGATGGGCGAAACTGGTGGGGGGAGGTAGTAGGGAGTGGGAGGGGAGGTGGTATCGCGGATTGGGCGGGGCCTCATTAGTGGATTGATTCGCGATGAGATAGGTTGCGCAAGACTGCAAAAATGAGATTAATGGAGTGGTATAAATGAACAACAGAAAGGGACAAGTACATCAGTGAGGGGCAAGTCTATAGGAGAACTGATCTGCAAGAAAATATTAGCGCGTGAACAATAGTAGTATTCGGGACTGGCTGCGTACTCTGACTTGTGCTACAGGCTGAATACTAGCAAGGATCTCAGGAGGAGTGTTGCATAAATAGATGTTGTAATTGTGCTGAGTGGTGTAAACTAGTTGGCGCGAGTCGGGTGAGAGGATAAGGTGGTGGACGGACACAACATCGAATGAGGCGAGGAGCTGGCGGGACTCAAAAGACCAGAGTTGGATGTTGTTATAAGAAGCGCTAGCAAGGAGAGCACAATCAAGTGAAAGTGCTAGACCAGTGATAATTGAGGCGTGTCCTTCGAAGGGGATTCCGACAGCAACCAGCGTAGATGCATCCAATTCACATATCGTATATGGGGAGCCCCGTGTGACGCTGACTGCGGTTACGATGGTTTCGTCTTTGGTAGTCCAAAACACTGGTGCACAGATGGAGTCTGCCATATCAAATGTCCCTTTGACATCCAATGATCGTATTCGTATATCCCACACTTCAAGGTAATTCCCCTGCTTGACTGCGAGCTTCTTTGAGTCCCTCGAGAATTGAACTACCCCCACAACTTTGGCACTTTGGAATGGACCAGCCACGGATCTGCCAGTTTCCAAGTTCCATATCCGCACCGTTTTATCTTCTGCCCCGCACGCCAGTAGCGTGTTGTCCCCGGAGATATCGATGCAGTTGATCCTGTATGAATGACCTTTGGATGTTCTCACGATTCCTGTCTCAACCTGACAGACTTTGAGCTCCCCAGTGTTGAGATTTCCACTAGCAGTGACAATCCATCGACCATCCTTTGATACCCCCACAGCACTTACTTCCTGCCTATGAACATTCCGCACCCCCTTGATCTCCTGATCAGCCAGCAAGTCCCATTGACGAGTGGTCTTATCGCGTGACATGCTGATCATTCGCTTGCCGTCTGGAAAGTAGGATATGGATGCAATAGTGTCTTTGTGGCCCTTCAAGGTCAACACGGGCGTCAGAGTGGATTCATCTGCTGTCGATAGGGAAGCCATGTCCCGTTTCTCTCCCAGCGAGGTTAGTAGATGCGGGTAATGTTTTATTCGGAAGTGTTCAAAGGGTCGTCGGTGAGGTTTTCTTGTATGCTCTGGCTCGACGTTGACAGGTATTTAGAAGGATGCCCAACTACTCGCAGCTGGTACACTTTGCCTACTGATATCAATTGTCAATTCGTTAATGCTAAAAGTCCAGATTAGTTTGATGTACCTAGAGGCTAGCGACCTTGGGAGAAGAGTGAGCTGATCGAATATCCGTCTCGCTCGCACCACTTCCTGTACTCCTTTCGGCATGGCGGCTGTGCGCTACACAGCAAAATATTTATCTTTACCCGCTGCCCGATGTCCATCCGATCTGCTTGCTTATCAGGTACAAGGACTTTCAACGCAACAAATGAACGAGTTCGACCAGTGTGGATCACCAAATCAACAATTTCGCAGGTCGACCTCCTTATGATTCTGAATATGACGGGACCTCCATTTGGTATAGAAGCGCTCGCGACCATGTATGGTCTCCCGTACGTGAAATTCTATGCTGTTATGAAGTACCCTTACTATTTGGAACGTCCTTGACACACGGAAGTCTCTACAGCGTGGTCCATTTCATGCTTGCGTGATTTGTTCAAGTTGTCGCTATCGTACCTACTGGTAGCGGAAGCAATACTTTTGAGGTTTCGGCTCACTCGGGATGTCTATCTTCTGACATGGCTTTCTGGCGCGGCTTGTATTTTTTGTGAGACGCACAGACAAATCATGGGCACCGTATTGGACATGTTGGACATGGTGTAGACTGGTATTTGCATATCACATTGCAGGAGATGCCTGGGGTTGAGCCTACGTTTAAAAACCCTGGTAACAGTATCATATTACTGTGCCTCGTTGTTTGGCTGTACTGTAATCAGATTGTTGAATGCAAAATAGTTCAAGAATCAACGAGATCTGGACAGGGAGTAATATTCATTCCTGATCGTTCCGTCAGCTCCCTCCGTCGATGGACGGTCCCGAGGATCAGTAGACCAACATTGCTCAATAAACGTCCAGTATTGCTCAGGGAGCTCATGATAACGAGCTCGGGAGGGCTTTTCCGACCTAGCTATGCACAGGACGATAGCAGCGTCGTTCGGGAGGTAATAATAAGGGATTTTGTTCGTGAGGACCTAAAGGCAGAGCTAATGATATTATCTGACAAGTCGAGAGTACTCCAGACGTACCTGCAACATGATACCGCCGAACGAAAATATGTCGCTTTGCTCGCTCGGACGAGTCGGAGATCCGTCTTCCCGCTCTGGTACAAGTAGCTCAGGAGCCATCCATCGCATGTTTCCTTTGAGCGTGGACGTCCAGGACGCCTGAGAAGCGCTTATAATCTCGGAATACATCAAGGAAAGACCGAAGTCAGCAACACACGCGGTGCCATCACCGTGAATGAGCACATTAGGCTGGAGCTCACTTCTCAATGAAATTGCAACTATCGAGAAGATCAAACTTACCCCAGTGAAGTCACCATGGATGACACTGCTGGCGTGGACTGTGAGGAGTAGTCACAACTCTGTCCGGCAACAATGAAGTCTGTCACATACGATATTGCAGACCAGCTATGATATCTCTGAGCTAAGTTGGTCATCAGTTGCGTGGTCTACCCAAAATACAAGAGATGACTTACTAGCTGGAATCGTCTAACGATAGTAAGAGCCTCGCCCTTGAGCTCCAAATAGTCCGACAGGTTACCATTCTCCGCCCAAGGACTGACTATCGCTAGGAATGGGCCGAAGCCATACGTGTAACCATAGACAGATAGAATATTTGGATGCTTGAGGTTGGCGCATATTCTGAGTTCACGCTTTATCCTCTACAAAGTGGCAAACTGTAAGGAAAGACGGTCTTTCGTTAATAAACCCACCTTGATCTTTTTCGTCTTCGCTGCACCAAGCTGATCAGCAGCGTACACCTGCAATGCTTTCACTGCAACCTGAAAATCATTAATTTTAAACAGATGGGCAAACAAAAAATGGAAAGCAAACTTTGACCGAGCTACGATCAATCTGAAAGGTGCATTTCCAGATCTCCCCGAACCCACCACGAGCAACAGGGTAGTCTCCATCCTTGCTGATATATCTTGAAAGGTCTTGGAGCGTTGCTTCAGGGGGGAGATCGTCAGGCTCAACTTTACGAGCGGAGAGGACTGTGCGTGTATTGGAAGAGAAGGGAAGGATTTCGCAAGGTTCAGGGGGTAGCCGGAGTTGCAATGAACCTACTGTAAAAGAGGGTATCTGTGATGGAGGAGGAGTAGGCCACATGTCAGGAAACGGTAGAATGTCGGGAGGTTTTATGCGAGAGGTTCCGGCGTGTCTGTCAAGCCAGGGTGCGCGACGACGGGCGAAACTGATGGGGGGAGGTGGTAGAGAGTGGGAAGGGAGTCTCTGTTGCGTATTTTGTGGGGCCTCACTAGCACTGAATTGATTCGCGGTGAGAAAGAGAGTGCCAGACTGTAAAAATGGCATTAATGGAGTGATGTAAATGATCAAAAGAAGGAAATGAGTACATCAGTGAGGGGTGGGTTTCTAGGAGCACTGATCTGCAAGAAAATGTCAACGGGTGATCGACATTAGTATTGTGGGTTGGCTGCGCACTCTGACTTGTGGTACAGACTGAATGCTAGCGAGGATCTCAAGGGGAGTGTTGCATAAGTAGATGTTGTTGCTACCCAGGCCGGTGTAAACTAGTTGGCGCGAGTCCGGTGAGAGGATAAGGTGGCGAACAGAGTACATAACATCGAGTGCGGCGAGAAGCTGGCGGGACTCAAATGCCCAGAGCTTGATGGTCTTGTCATCAGAAGCACTGGCGAGGAGAGCACAATCGAATGAAAGTGCTAAACTGGTGACGATCTTTGTGTGTCCTTCGAAGGGGACTCCAACAGTGTTCAGTGTAGACGCTTCAAATTCAAAGATCATTGGGGAGTTGCTGAATGCAGTTACTATAGTTTTGTCTTTGGCAGTCCAAAACACCGGTGTAGATGTTAAGTTCATGTCGCCAAATGTCCCCACTTTGATATCCAATGATTGTGTTGGGACATCCCACACTTCAAGGTAATTCCACAACCAAGATTTGACTGCGAGCTTGTTCGAGTCATGCGAGAATCGAACTGCAGCCACATCTTCGGCACTTTTCCATGGACCAGTTACAAGTTTGCCAGTTTCCAAGTGCCATATCCGCACTGTGCCATCGCTCGCCCCGCTCGCCAGTAGTGTGCTGTCCCTGGAGATATCGATGGATTCGATATACCTTGAGTGACCTTCAGATGTTCTCATGGTTCCCTTCTCAACCTCACAGACTCTGAGCCCATTTCCACCTACAGAGACAACCCATCGACCATCCCTTGATACCCTCGATACCCTCGCAGCATGTACTTCCAGTTCCCAAACATCCCGCACTTCCTCAATTTCCTTGCCCGCTTCTAGGTCCCATTCACGAGTGGTCTTATCGCTTGACCCACTGATCATTCGCTTCCCGTCCGGAAAGTAGGATATAGATGGAATAGCGTTTTTGTGACCCTTCAAGGTCAACATGGGTGTCAGAGTCAATTTCTTCGCCACCGTGGTAGGCTGTTGCGATCTGGAAACCATGTCCCGTTTCTCCGCTAGTTGAGGTTTAGCAGATGCGGACAATGTTTTATTTGAAATTATTTGAAGGATCGTCGGTGAGACTTTCTCGTATCCTGTAACCTGATGTTGATAGTGATTTCGAAGGATGTGCAAATACTCGCAGCTTGTGCACTTGCCTGCCGATGTCGGTTGTCAGTTCGTTAACGCTGAAAGTCCAAATTAGTTTGATGTTACCTAGAGGCTAGCAACTTGGGAGAAGAGCGAGCAAATCAGCTGATTGAATTTGCGTGCGTCTTGCAGCCACTTCCTGTATGTACTTTCTAACACGCCCTTTTGGTATGGCTCCTGTGCATTGCACAGCATTGTTTTTACCCGCTGTCTCCTGTCCATCTAATCTGCTTGCTTGTTAGGCACAAGTTATTCAAGGACTTTCAACACAACAAATGAACGTGTTTGACCAGTGTGAATCACCAAATCAATAATTTCGTAGGTCGATCTCCTTATGACTCTGAATATGATAGGACCTCCCTTTGGTATGAAAGTGCTCGCTACCGTGTACGGTCTTCATTATGTGAAATGCTATACAGTTATGGAGAACCATTACTGCTCTGGAACATCCTCGACTTACAGAAACCTGAGCGTGGTCTGTTCAAGTCACGACGATCGCAATCACTGGTAGCGGGAGCAGCTTAGCACTTTTTAGGTATAAGTTGCGGCTTGTTCGGGATGTCCAACTTTTGACGCGCGGCTTGTGTTTTTTCCTGGGGCATGCACAGACGAATCATGGACACCGCATAGACACATTGGACACGGCATAGGTCGGTAACTACAGTGTTCTCATCACATTGCAGGAGATGTCTGGGGGTGATTACAGTACAGGTAACAGCATCGTGTTACTGTGCCTCGTTTTGTCGGTTGAACTGTAAACAGATCGTTGAATGCAATAGTTCACGAATCAATGAGATCTAGACAGCGAGTAAAATTCATTCCTGATCGTCACATGAGCTCCCTCCGTCGATGGACGGTCCCGAGGATCATTAGACCAACATTGCTCGATAAATGCCCAGTGTTTTTCAGGGAGTTCTGGATAACGAGCTCGGGAGGGCGTTTCTGACCTAGCTATGCATAGGACGATTGCGGCGTCATTCGGGAGGTAATAATAAGGGATTTTGTTCGTGAGGACCTAAAGGCAGAGCTAATGATATTATTGACAAGTCGAGAGTACTCCAGACGTACCTGCAACATGATACCGCCGAACGAAAAGATATCGCTTTGCTCGCTCGGACGAGTTGCAGATCCATCCTGCTGCTCTGGTACAAGCAACTCAGGAGCCATCCATCGCATGTTTCCTTTGAGCGTGGACGTCCAAGATGCCTGAGAGGCACTTATAACCTCGGAATACATCAAGGAAAGACCAAAGTCAGCAACACACGCGGTGCCATCACCGTGGATGAGAACATTAGGCTGGAGCTTATGTCTCGATGAAATTGGAACTATCGAGAAGATCGAACTCACGCTATTGAAGTCACCGTGGATGACACTGTTGGCATGAACTATGAAAAGTAGTTGCGACTCGGTCCAGCACTGACAATAATTAGCACGTACGATATTGCAGACCGGCTATGATATCCCTGAGCTAAGTTGGCCATCAGTTGGTAGTCTATACGAAATACAAAAGGGACTTGCCAGCCGGAATCGTCTAACGAGAGTAAGAGCCGTGCCCTTGAGCTCCAAATAGTCCGACAGGTTACCATTCTCCGCCCAAGGACTGACTATCGCTAGGAATGGGCCGAAGCCATACGTATAGCCATAAACAGGTAGAATATTTGGATGTTTGAGGTTGGCGCATATTCTGAGTTCACGCTTTATCCTCTACGAAGTGATAACCCGTAAGGAAAGGCCAGTCTTTCGTCAAGAAACTCACCTTGATCTTTTTCGTCTTTGCTGCACCAAGTTGGTCAGCAGCATAAACCTGCAATGCTTTCACTGCAACCTGCCCAGATATCAATTTTAGACTGATGGACAAACAACACTGCAAACGAACTTTGACCGATGTACGATCGATGTGAAAAATACATTTCCAGATCTCCCCGAACCCTCCACGAGCAACAGGATAGTCTCCGTCCTTTGTTATATATTTTGAGAGGTCTTGGAGTATCACGTCAGGGAGGAAATCGTCAGACCCATCATTACGAACATGGAGAACTGTGTCCGTATGGGAAGACGGTGTAAGGAGTTTGCTGGAGTGGTTGGGTAAACAGGGTAGCCGCGATCCTATTGTAAGGGAAGGTCTACGTGGTGGAGTGGGAAGAGCTATGAAAGACAGGTCCATCTTTGGGTTACGATGCACAACAGCAGGAGGAGCTATTGCGTCAGGCTACAATAATGGCATTAACAGAGTGGTATAGATGAGTACAAGAAAGGGACCGCATACGTTAAATAGATTAGCGAGCGGTGGATTTCCAGGTGTACTGGTCTGTAAGAAAATATTAGTGCGTCAATGATAGTAGTATTCGGGGTTGGCTGCGCACTCTAACTTGTCGTGCAGGCTGAATGCTAGCAAGGATGTCAGGTGGAGTGTTGCATAAGCAGATAGTGTTGTCCTGGGCCGTGTACGCCAGTTTGTGTGAGTTGGGTGAGAAGATGAGGCAGTAGGGATATCGAACGTGGAATGAGGCGAGAAGCTGGCGAGACTCAAAGGCCCAAAGGTTGATAGTGTGACCCGGCACGGACGCACTAGCAAGGAGAGCACAATCAAACGAAAGCGCTAGACCTGTGACAAGCAGTGCGTGACCTTCGAAGGGGGCTCCAACGGTGTCCAGCGTAGACGCGTCGAACTCATAGATCGTGGTGGGGATGCCATAATAGCTGAATACAGCTACGATGGTGTTGTCTTCGGTAGTCCAGAACACTGGCGCATATGTGCAACCCCAGCTGTTGTTGCTTT